CGTTTGTAAAAATCCGTCTACTATTAACGGAGGAGTAGTGTTTCGTAGAAATCGCCTTCACGTATTAAGGATGTGTCAGCTGTTTCATTTGTTGCTGTTTTAAACTTGCTATGCCCCATCGAGGAAAGCCAAGGCCCTGGTGGCACAATTTAAAGACCTAGCCTGAAATACAGAAAACATATACTACTATTTACTACTATGTTTTCTGTGCCTGAAGTAATGTTGATCAGTTCCAGGCTAGTACCATAGTAGAGAGGGGATGAACATGTCATGTAATAAGCCTTGTACACACCAGAAACGTATGCAGGATGTTTGCAGACTTTTTTAAAACAATCTGGAGAAACATATACTGGGTTTGGGTTATGATAAACCCTCTTGAGCTCCTGTATTAAAGCGGCCCTACTGTTAATATATAAAACTTCTAGTGTGTAAGATTTTAGGACATTAAATGATTACGTATTGTTAACCACACTTAATTAAAATTGATACCATTATCAGATTGTAATCTACTCACAGTTTTTTTTAAGTGGATTTATAAATTTCTGTTTTTAAAATCAATACCGTTCAAAGTTGAGAAGCTGCTATATCAACAAGTATTGTGTTACATTGGCCGTTAGAGTTACGTAAGTTTACGCAGCAGTACTGTTCAACAATCTTGGTAACTCCAACTGGACAGCCAGAGCTGAGCCTCGCCCTTAACAGGGATTTATCTTATTTATATTTATGGTATGGAAATTTTCATTACCATACCAGAAAGTGCAATTTGCAAAGATATTATAATATTGCATTCATTAAAAAAATCTATATCAAGTACACAGTATTTTAGATATATTTACAAATATAGGTATGCTAGTAACTGAAAATATCCTTATTGATACTAAAAATATAGATAAAATTTAATTTCTAACATTATAATAAAAAGTTAAAAGATATAATTTTAGTTAGTGACTTTAATGGTTGGGTTGGCTGAATTTGTCATTTGGAATTTTGGTGTACGCGATTGATTTGTTATAGATAAAAAATAAGACATACAATTAAAACTACTTGATACAGTGTGCCTTAAAGTTTATACAAATAATTTAGTACCTACTGGCACTAGTTTTTTTTTATTTAAAAACAATGTTAAATGGGGCTATTGAGTAAATTGGTTTTACATGATGATATTGAGAAGTTATAGAGATAAAATGTAATTTTATTGTTGATTCTATCTTTGACTATTGATACAAACTACAGTATTAAATTCCAACCCCACTTTAACATTTTTGCCAATTTTTTTTATCAAAATCGTCATAGTTGATATGAGCCCCTGACAGATTGTGCTGATGTAAATTACTGATTTTAGTAAAATTTATTATTTATACACTTTTTTACCAAGTAAAAATTGTGTTTTAATCTATCTCTAGTAATAGAATGATGGGTTTTTATATTACAAAGTTATACCAACAAGCAACTTCAAGTTGAATCATTGACTTTTTTATTGATACAGGTTCATAATATAAAAGAAGGTTTCCATTCAGATCCATACTTAATATAGACAGGTTTAATGTTCAATAAAACAAATATTTTTGCAAACGTTTGGAAAATTAAAGTCTTATCAATTTGCCTAATATTGTTTCCTTTACGAATAATTCTTTTCAAATTCATGCCAAACAATATGTGTTTGGTATGTAAAGAGAAAGAGAACATCAACACTTGCATTAACACAAGTGGATCTTGAAAGCAACTCTTTAAATATGCTTCACATTATACAGCATTCTTCAGCATGCAGGTTTACTTCATTGGTTTATTTCTTCTTGGACTTGTACTATATGTAAGTAAAAGTTATTCTAATCCATCATTGCTTACATTTATACTCTGTTTAAGGCAACCTATGTATTTCATATGTTTAATATTTAAGGATCATTGAATACCCTGCCAGCAAACTTGCAGACTAAGCACATTGCTATTTGCTCAATTAGATTTTCATTCAAATAATTCCTTAAAAGTGTCAGATTAATTCCCTATTTAAATGACATTAGGTTAAACGAGTAATTAGGTTTGCTGCTACTGGTGGGAAGGTAAAAAGGTGTGTTTTTTTAGTAAAATGTTAATAGCTTGGGTTTTGGGATTGAATAAATTTGCCAAACTTAATCAGAATGTATTCATAAACATTCAAACAAAAAGAGTACTTTACTCTCCACAAGAATAACATGGGTATTTTTAATATACTGGGAATTTTCTTTGTAACCAATAACAATGAAATTTGTACAACAATGCACTAAATTAATCACAGACAATTCAGATTGTATTTATCACAACCCAGAGATGTGTATTACCATTGTATTACACATCATTTACACATCATGCAATTTTTGTGCAAGTAAATTTTTTATAACCCACTTCTGTTAAACTCTAACCTCAGGCAAATCACATTGGGAAGTGAAACTTTATTTCAGGAGGTTAGGTTAACTGTAAAAAAGGGTTAAAGGTTTTTAATTTAATTTAATTTATTTTACTGCATTAACAGATTTGCACTTTTTCCCAAACTTAAAATTTTTGGGTATAGCCATGTCAATGTTGTAAATGTAAATTCAGATAAAAAATCATTGGGTCTCATTTTTCATGAGAGACTGAAAATTACAAAATATATGAGTGACTACCTACCAAGTAAAAAAATGAAACCATTATGTATTGGTTATAAAAGTATAAGAATGGATAAATAAATAAGTCTTAACTTGCATTATTTTAATAGTATTGTTTAAAAAAAAAATCTTGAAGCAATGAGAGGGGTGTTGGCCAAAATTTAGTGCACCTTTTTATAAATCTATTTGTAACCTCTCAAGCTTACAAAAGAATTATTATCAGAATCAGAAATTGTTATTTGTTTTGCAGTAATGTATACAGTGTTAGTTTTGGGTGTATTAACATTTTAATTTTAAAAATAAACATATTTTTTTCCTAACTTGATTTTGATGCTCTAATTTTGGGTGTTTTAGGGATTTGTATTTAAAACGTAGGCACTCAAACAAACCTCCCAATTTGAAGCACTTATCCAAAATGCTATTTTGCTCCAAGTACAATTTTACAAATCAAAGAAGGTCAATGCTATTAAGATTAGTATAAAGAACCAATAAATTACTTTACCAACTTAAATTATGCATGTATGCAATTTAACTTTACAAAATTTAGCATTGGTTATGTTCCAGGTACACTTCAAGGCATTCATTGTCTAGAGGAGAGCGATAAAGGAGGAAGAGGGATTTTCAGACCCAGAGTTCGACCTGCCTCTGCCCTCCTGGAAACCCAGGGTAAATGAAATGTTTCACAAGAAAAATAAAGCTACGGTATATAGAAAGATACACTTACGTTTATCATCCCTTTTACGGTTATGTCCTTTATTTCAATTAAACTCCCGATGTTATATTATGACAAACTGTTTTAATACGATTCCTAACTTCAAACTGTTGAGGCACAGTTTCAGTAAACAGTATTTAAATTCAGTCAATGATTGATCAAAAGGACAAATACAAATTGTGACAACTGACAAGTAGGTATATCGGTTCAGCCATGTTTTGGTCACTACTGTAGGCCTACCAGTAGACGCAACTCTTACACAGTTTATGATTGATATACACTACACTAGTGTTTATAGTCAGTGCTTCAGGTCAGGACTTATGAATGCTTGAAGTCTTCATCTTTGACTCACACTGACGGATAGATTGCGTCAAAAATTGTCTCAAATCTACAAACTTTTGATAGTGATCGAATATAATGAAAACTATATAATGTATAGAAAAATGTTAACAGAACAAAACTTGTTGTAAATTAACAAGCTTTTTTGTTTCTGATATTAAATTCTCTAGGACGTATCGATATTTCAGAAGAGAACAGAAAATACTGGTACAGTCAACCTTCCTCTCCCACTGAGGCTGCTCGAAGTCCACAGGCGGCGGCTTTTTGATATGCTCACCTCCTGTTTTCATTTAACATTTCCTAACATTTCCTTTTTATATACCTTTCCGTTGTCTGGACTAATACATTTGAAAAATACCCCCGCCGCAGCAAACCTGCAGACTAAGCGAATTTCCATTTCCCTGAATGGATTTACACTAAAATGTCTCCGTAAAATTATCACATTTATTCCCTATTTAAATAGAATCAGTTTAAAACATACTTAGGTTTGCTGCAACAGGGAGGGTAAAAGTGTTTTTTATGTAAAATGTTAATAGTTAGTAAGAAATAAAAACATTTTCCAAATTTGGGCAAAATATGTTTATAAACAAGCAAACTACAACAGTTTACTTATTCTCCATAAGAATAACATGGGAATTTTAAATTTACAATTTTTTGGAATTTTCTCCGTAACCATTAGGCGCATTATAACGCTTCACTATACTAAATTATTTGTTTTTTTAAGCTCTACAAAATAGTTTAAAAAGAAATTGCAAAATTTTATGTTTTTTGGGTCAAAAATGGGAAAACCCCATTTTTTCCCATAAAAGCCCCCATAAACCCCCGTTCCCATGGTCCGATCATGCTGGTTCGCGAACTCGTTCGAATAAACGTAGGTTTACAGTTACACGTTTGTACCAAATTTCATCAAAATCGGATCATTTTTGCTCGAGTTATCGCGCTAACGGACACATATATATATATATAAATATATATATATATAAATATATATATATATATAAATATATATATATGAATTTGAACGGATGGTGTTTTTGACCTCTAGGGACCTCAAAACGAAAAAAAAAAATCGGTCCCGGGTCCAGGTCTTACCGTGAGTACTACGGTAATAGCTTATTCCCTATATGGGAAATTCGCTAAAATCACGTTTACAATATGTATTATATCCTCTACATCGTAATGATAGCATTTTCAGCGTAGTAGTCAAGATGATTGTGAGATGCACAATAGTTGCGTATTGATATTGTTATATAAGAGTTGTTTTATGCCTGATGTTGTTTACTTACACTTGTTGACATTGGATTGCCGCCATGTATCCGCCGCGAGGTTTAGTCTTAATTGTGTGGTGATCGTGTAACATTGTTTGATCAACAATGGGATTGTTTAAGCTGTTTTATATGTTCTCTCCTGTCCGCCATTTCATTGCGATCGCCGTGATATCTGTGGGCGTGGCTTACGTCTTGAGGAAGTATTTTCGAGAACGCAAGACTGAATATGCTTACGAGGCTTAAGTTTCTACTGTAATCAACTACTGCGCACAGGATTTAGTCAAAATGTACGTAAGTATTGTTTTTTTTTACATGAAGTGAGTTGTAAATGTAGTTCTAGTTGTAACAGAGGTTGTCATAATGATATTCCACACAGTACTAACAGTGTAATTTTTATATATTAAAAACAACTTCCTGAACACTATAATACCGGTAATCAAATTTAAATTTGCTAATTTAACGGAATTGGTACATCATCCATGTAGGCTACTTGAGCTTTATATTGTTTTCAAAATGTATAACATAGTTGCCTATAGTATGCATAAAATCTCTATAAAGTAGGTAGCAACTGAAGTTTGTTCCAATAATGTTTGATTACTCTTACAATATTTTCACGTTTTGCGAAATATTTCGATAAATCCCTTAACATGTAAATAATGATAACGATAAAACTGTAAAATTGTGATCTGTGATGGCATATTAAAATGTGTGTGCGTTTTGTATCCGATTTAAAGGGACTTAAAAACGCAGATATGACATGGATCATTATAATTGTACATCCAGTACATGGGTTTGAAAAAGATATATTGCGCAATCAATTAAGACAAACTATAGACATATCAATTTTTAAAAATAATGTCCACTTAAATTCATGTGTAGGGATTGCAAAATTACGTAACACATTTCGAACATTGAAGGATTTTCAACAGTGGTTTACTATATCCTGTAAACTCAAGCACACAAAGGAATTATACATTCGTATTTCGTATACAATTAGGTTATTCTCCTCGTAATTATGCGTGTTTTGTATCTATCAAGTAAAAAATATGTAATAACCTTAAATGCTCAAAATACCGTCGTATAAACCATTAAACTAACGTTTGCCATTAAATCGTTCCTAAATGTAACCATATACTGTATAACCATAACCTATGTTAATTTATCTCATCCACACTCATAAAACAAAGGCCGCCTAAAAACAACGCACGATTGACTAAATATGACCTCATAACTTCCAAAATCCATTCAGGTAAACGCGTTGATATTAGCAACTACCGACCTATAACCATTCTGCCGACTTTTTCAAAACACCACGACGAGTGTGTCAAAAGTTTCCCGTAAACCCGTTGTTGTTTTTTTATTATTTGTAGCCAGACTTGGTATTCCTTCACTTAAATTTTTGGCCAATTGAACTTTATGTCAGATCAATGACCTTTGAACCGAAATAGAATCAGAAACCGCTAATACTATCAACTACCGACCTATAACAATTAATTTCTGCCATCGTTTTCAAAAACCACGATGAGTGTGTCATGTTACTCCAGTAAGCCCGTGGTTGATTATTGGATTATTTGTAGCCAGACTGGGGAGTTATACAACAGTGGAGGGGTTTTGGTTACATAACCACCTCTCAGTCGCAGTGGCTCCTCGTCGGTGGTCAAGGCACATACAGGTAACCTCAACCTTCTTTGGCGTTATACGCCGGCGTTTTACCGGATAATGCACTAATTCCCCTTCAAAAGCGTTATTGCGATTTACTCGTATACAAATTAACTCCCAATCAAATTCCAGTAGCCTATAAATGTAAGTTTTTGGTTAATAAGATGGGATAGTTTCGACTAGTTTGAACAAAGATTGAACTAATTGATATTTGGCAGGATAAATTTGATAAACTACGTGGTAAATTATTATTCTTTGATATGTGAACTATTATGTATAGTTTTTGTAATGGGAAAGCGTCGATTCAGTATTTTTCAAAGTGTGCTGGACAGTGGTTATATAAGCATCACCTTGGTCACGTGACCCGGCACCGTTATCCAGCGCAACCTTGACTCTGCATTTCGAGTCTATTTTTAGAACATTCTTATCAATCTAGTTCTTTATTGTCTTATTATTTGGATATGCTCACTGTTATCTGTGTTTTGTAGCAATCTGCGTCACATATGTGATTCATGGTTAGCTTGATTAACGTGTTTATAGATTGGTGGGGGAATCCGTGTTGTTTTTGTACCTAACACTTGATCATTACTTTATACATGTAAATGCTGTTGATTCTAAATACTAGTGTAAGAAATTTTACTTGGTGGTAAAATATTTCCCTTTAGAAAGGAATTCCGACCTTATAGGGCAATTTATGAAATAAATGGATAGTTAAGTTTCTCGTTATGACGAACATTTTAAGTATTTGGTTGATGGGGGTGTGACTTGTAGTTTTCCCAAAAGTTCATGGGTACTTTTGAATTTATATAAGGAAATGTTTGCAATTTAATAAAAAAAGAAATAGGTAAATCAATCATTCTTAACAATTTCTATATCCAGCCAGGGGGTAAAATTCCGGGGGGTAAAATTCCGGGGGGTAAAAATCCGGGGGTAAAATTCTGGGAGATAAAAATTCGGGTGTAAAATTCCGGGGGTAAAAATCCCGCCCGTACATCTTCAGTTGTCTAAACGTCTTTTTATTGCTAATCTAATTAATCACACTCTGTCTATTTTCATTAGACTTCCAAATCAGCGGGGGTAAAATTCCGCCCGTGAACAAACTTTTGAGCGGTCAGGTTACTACGCCTTAGTGACGTCAGCTTTGCCCAGGGGGTAAAATTCCAGGGGGATAAAATTCCGGCAACCCTCCAAAAGTCTTCATAAAGTGGTACACGCAACATTATATTACAGTACTAAGTTATAGTTTTGAGTTGTATTTGTGTTGCTTCTTAGCTGTGTATCTGCAATACAAAACTGTGTTGGCTGAACAATTTAGCTGTTCAGAATCATGTTGCAGTTTGTATAAAAGTAACATTATCCCGGAGTGTACAATTCCAGTACTAAAATTGCTAACTGCATGTACAGTGTATGAATATAAAACATTTTTTATCATTATCCTTTAAAATAAACACATTATTTTTATGTGCACTACTTCCTCAAAATTCCCATGAAAGAACTGTAAAGAAAATGTTAATGATAATACTAAAGTATTGCGTTATTAGTAAACTCTTGCAAACACATTCATGAAAATAAGGATTCTTTCAGTGTGTATCTTTATTTTTTATATTATATGACCATATACTGGTAATAACCTTAAGGAAGGTAAACTTCTTTAAGGTTTGTGTTAACTTAAGGAAAACCAAATTAAATCAAAGAGTGTCTATCAACTGTAAAATTTTGTTAAGGAGATATACGGGTGACAAAAAAGCCTGGAAACAGCTTATCTTTTTAACTAAATCCTTTAGAAAATCCAAACCTTTCACATCAACCTATATGTATGAAAACTACTTTTTCAAAGCATTACCATTTTTTGACCTCTACCAAGGGATGACCCGAGGAGTAAGTGCATAATCTTTAATGTAAGCATAGGTTGATATGCACATAAATTTAAAGGGTTGGGCAAGAGGAGTTCATTGCCGAGAACCGCGTCGCAAAAGGTTCATCTGTTATAAAATGGTGACGGCTGCCGAAAGTTCTTTCAGAAAAAGACCTGCACAAGCCTTAGTATTGGTAAATACTTGTAGTCAACATTAGCTAGAGAGCTGAAAGCCAGTTAATTCCTCTTACCCAGCCCTTCAAAATGATGTGCATATCAATCTATGCTTACGGTACATTAAAGATTATGTAGCCTTCCTACCTACTCTTCTTGGGTCGTCCCCTCTGGTGGAGGTCAAAAAATGGTATTGTTTGCAAAAGGTAGTTTTCATACTTATAAGTTGACGTGAAAGGTTTGAATTTTCTAACGGGTTTGGTTAAAAAGATATTAATCCGTTTCCACTTTTTTGTCACCCTGTATTATCTCCTACAAACATTTTCATAAAAAAAAATACCCACACTATTCTTTCACGAAAATATTAATTTATGAGGTACGGTAGTTTAAAAATAACTATATAAACATACACAAAACAAAACACAAGATATATTTTTAATATTTCCAAGGTAAAAACTTTAGCTATCTTTCTGTTAATTAAACACACAGGTAGAAACAATGTTATGTTTCTACCTGGGAGTTTATTAAGTGAGAAAGTTTAATTTAATCCTTCTGATTTAAACATGTTGTATAAAGTAAATTTATCATGGTTATCTGTAGGTATATAATGTGGTAGGAAGCAAATACACACAAAACAATTGAATATAATTAATTGTAGTTGATACCACATAAAGTAATTTTATTTGGAATTGTTTTCAGAAGCTTACTTCAAAATCAAGATAACAGTTAGTTAGATAAGAGTACAGTTAAAGTAACACTACTTTATTACACTTGTAATACTTGGAGTTTTTTATTAACATGGTTTCTGTTGTTTTCAAATCATGTGACTTCCCTTGAGCTAGTATTGCAATCTGATACTCTATCTTTACTAGAGCTTCCATTCTCAGGTTACCTCCATTCTATAACAACTGTGTGTTTTCCAAAGTTCCACTTTAACACTTTAAGTTCCACTTTAAGTTTATTATCGGTACTAAATAAACAAAAATATGTGTCTGTGTGTAATTATTGTGTTGGAGGATAGCTGATTGTTTAACATAATATAATAACAGCTAATTCAAATAAAAGACTATACACTCCAATCAAAATCAACCACGACTTGCCATCTTTCCTAATATTTAGTAGGCCTATTACTGTCTTGTGAGTAAAAAAATGAGTGTATATAATATATAATATGTTTTAGTGTTATTCAATTTTTTCCTTTACATTCCGTTAATTTAATAACATATGTACCACAATGCTGATTTTAGATGCTAAGCTGTAATAATACTGCATAAGCATTTTGACACACTATAACTTTTATCATGAGTAAAATCCATACTTTAATTGCAATAAAACGAACAAATAGTTTTTTTTTTAAATATTTTACATGTAGCAAATACTTTTACCCAACCAATTTTGAGGTTATGTGATTTAATTTTCACCTCTCTAGATTATTAGAAAAGCTTTAGTGGTTTCGAACTAGATCAAATATCTCCTCAATCATTATAATTCTTATGGTTCCAACTAAGTAACTCAGATTGGTCTCAGAACAAAGCCATCATGTAAAGGTTCACACATCCAGCACTCATCAACATCAACAAAAGAGTATCTATTGTAATTTTGTATAAGCTTTAGCATAGAAAACATACTACTATAGTATGTTTTCTGTGGTGTTAGTCTCTTTAAAACTTCACTATACTCTTGAAAAGACTCTTATAGATAAACCCTCACTCTATTTTGCAGGTTGATGTAATCAGGTCACTGTGAACAAGATGGCTTCCTCGAGTAAGGATGCTGATATTGAGGGGGCGAAAAAACCCCTCATCCCCTCAGAGAACAAACCCCAGGAAGACTCGATATACAGACAGGTAGTTTATTTTCAAATTTGTTGCCAAAAGCTATATAGTTAGTGTCTTTTCATTTATTCAACTTGAGATTTATACTTTAAGTGATTTAAATACCTGCATTTAAGTAATCCAGTTAGTTTCTTTATGTTGCAACCAGTTTCAACACCATGGAGTCATCTTCAGGGGTACAAGGATAATTAAGTTGTCACTTCATTTGAAGGTTGTCATAGTTTTTAAAACGGAAAAACAGTTAGTTAACACAGACATTGAATGGACACTATCGTTTAAACATTAAAAATCACGAAAAATTACTGAGACGGTGAGTGACGTGTACTGGCCGGATATGAAATCTAGACTGCAGTGGTAGTGTGTAGGTCTACTGGTCAATGACGCCACCCTTCTTATCATCGCTTGTCTTTGAGATTTATATTTAATCATTAATATTTTACCTATACAGTTATACCACACTCGGTAAGAGTGTTCATGCATGTTCATATAGGCATATAACTGGTTAGCAGGAATACAGTTATATGTACCACACTCGGTAAGAGTGTTCATGCATGTTCATATAGGCAGAGAACTAGTTAGCAGGACCTTTTTACCTAGATACCCAGGTCCAAGTCCTGAAAATCCCCATTCGCTAAGGTAAACTAGGTGGACCGATGCTTCTACATGTTGACACTGGATTCAACAAAACCTCAAACAAACCCAAAAAAAAAATTATAATACCGCAAGAATTAATAGCTTGGAGCCCACCTTAACCTGTTAATTCAGTTATTTAAAACCATGACAGGATAAATATTCTCTTTATTGGATGGAGAAGTCACTTCACAGAAAGCCATACAATAATGTAATCTGGATACCATAATGGCCAACCTTGGTGTATAGCTCTATGGATCTACCATTTGGATTCTCATCCTGCACCTAAGTTACACAGGTCCAAACCACTCAAACTGAAGTCTTGTCTAAACACATTTCAGATCCCAAAAAACAAAAAAACTAGAAAATTTTTTGGTGGTGGCAAATTTCACTATATTTACGCATGGTGAATGCAATGCTTTTGTTAATTATTGACATTGTTTCAAAAATGTCCATGTTGTATAGCTGTTCCTGGGGTCCGTGGTAGTCAGTCCCAACATTCTGTCAGGCATGGCTCTAGGCTACAGCGCTGTCACGCTCCCACAGCTCAACTACGCTCTTGATGATAGTTCTTGGTTCGGTAAGCATTGCCTTACATTCATCTAACCTGTTCACAGCTGTTCCTGGGCATGGTGGTAGTTCTTCCGAGCATCGCGCCAGGGATGGCTCTCGGCTTCTCTGCAACCGTCATCGATCAAATTCCCATCTCCATTGATAATGGTTCTTGGTTTGGTAAGATAATTCATTTTGCGTACCTATTAGAAGAAGTTTTTGTGCACATAACATTATATTTGTCAATAGTAACAAGAAAAAGTTGCATTATCTGTTTATAGAACTTGTTTTTGCTACACTTTGACAGAAAATATTGGACTGGATAATATTGGTTGTAAAGACAAATCTTAAAGTACTACAATTATGTCAAGTAACACTTGTAATAATATATTTACACTTTTACTGTTTATTCACAAAACAGAAAATACATATAAAATATGGTAAGTGGCGATCGATTTTGATTGGACAGTCCAATCGTCATTAGAGATCCATTATCGAAATCAATCACCCCTTTACCGTATTTTATATGTATTTACCGTCTTGTGAGTAAACAGTATAAGTGTAAATATATTATTACAAGTGTTATTTGACGTATTTCTGTACTTTCATGTAATTTAATAACACGTACAATGCTGATTAAGATGTTATTTAAAGACAAATTACATAGTATATTCTCCTCCGTCACACAGTTGAAAAGACTGAGACATATTCATTTATCTACTTCATTCTACATCTTATAATGCATTCATTTCTGTAAATATTGATTTAGGCCTAATTCCTTAGTTACCGGTACATAATATACCTTCATAGTTTGATGTGCTTTTAGTACCAGGATGCTTATATTAAGTCCTACTCTCATGACTTACTTACTCTTAACATATTTTAATCTGCTTCAAAGAAAAGTGGTTAAGTGTTATAGTGATGTATAAAAACGATTGTTTCACATTTCATCACAATCCAGTCAGTGGTTTCTGAGAAATTTTGTTTGTAAAAACCCTTGCCTTTCTTACAACATATCATTACCTCTGCCTTTTTTATGTGTTCGTATTAATTAGGGAAAGGGCAGGCAAGCTACTGTGTTTGTTTAGTATTTTTAATATCTTACAAATAATTAAGCACTAAATAAATTGAACTCATTATGATTAAAAAAAATTTAAAGCAGATTTAAAAACATGTTTTTTAGATATTTTGCAAATATTTAGTTTGCAGAATATTTTGAAAGTATAAAATATTAAAACGTAACAACCCTCTATCAACTCTAACAACCTTATCTATTCTATCTTAAAGCCGGGTTTTCCTAGGCGCGGAAGTGGAGAGTGGAGAGAGGAACGCGGAGAGCGGACTCCACTTGTCTTAGGTAATTAAATGTTACTGTTTTCATAGAAGCGGAGCGGAACACCATGTTAATCTCTTTTCCTCTCTCCGCTCTCTGCTTCCGCGCCTAGGAAAACCCAGCTTAACTATTTATTCTTTATATTTTGTAAACTATAAAAAAATATGTTTGTTGCAGCAAGTATTGTCTTCTTGGGAGTTGCCGTTGGCTGCTTTCTGGTGAACCCTGTAATGGACAAGTTTGGCAGAAAACCGACTCTCATTGTAAGCAGCGTGATTGGCCTCATTGGATGGCTGTTTCTATCAATCCGTGCTGGACCTCCCACCCTGGCTAAGCTCTACATTGGTCGATTCATCACTGGACTCTCCGCAGGGATGACAGCAGGACCTGCAGCTGCCTACGCATCAGAATGTCTCTCTGTTGAAAATGACAAACTACGAACGATTTTGATCACTTGGTCTACCGTCGCTTTGAGTGTTGGAATTCTATTTTCTTACGTCATGGGCTCCCTGTTGGCCTATTACAAGGTGGCTAGTCTTGCTTGTCTAATTTCAATCCTTGCTTTTATCATGGTTGCCATATTCATCCCAGAGAGCCCAGCTTGGCTTGAGTCCAAAGGTCGTTCCGGTGATGCAGAGTGGGCTCAGAAACAACTGAACATTAAGGTCCCTGCTAAACCCAGTGCAGAGTCATCTGCTCAGCCGAGCACTCCCACTGAAGCTGCTCAAAAACTCTCAATGGCTGACTCTATCAGGGAGTTTAAGAAACCTGAAGTATACAAACCTCTCTTGATAATGATTTTCTTCTTTTTCTTCCAACAGTTTTCTGGAGTTTATGTTCTAATTGCTTACATGGTAGACGTCACTAGGCTTGCTGGAGTAGTGATCCTGAACCCTTACTTCATCACTATTGTTGGAGGTACTCTCATGTTGATTGTATCTATCGGTGCCAGTTTTGTTTACCCCAAGACTAGCGTCAGAGCAATCGCCTGTCTCTCAGGAGCAGGGATGGCTGTTTCTATGTTCTTCATTGCGATATATCTAAATATCCGAGGATCGTGGTTGATTGGACCAACTTATTCCTTCACAAATTTCATTCCCTTGACAGCTTTTCTCTTCAACATTGTGTGCAGTACCATAGGCTTTTTGATTCTTCCATGGTCCATGATGAATGAAGTATTCCCTCTGCATGTGAAAGGTCTGGCTACCGGTCTTACAACATCTTTGGGCTTTGTCTTTAGTTTCTTTGCCATAAAAATGTTCCCGTATCTAAGCATTTCGCTCGGAAGATCTGAAACATTTTATTTCTTCGGTCTTATGTCTCTGCTGGGAACTCTTTTTGTGTATGCATTCCTGCCTGAGACCAGAGGGAAAACTCTTGAAGAGGTTTTGGAATCTTGGTCCAAGAAAAAGCCATCAGGACAAGAAAATGTGTAATCTTTTTTAACAAGGACATTCCCATAGGTTATAAAGTATAGGTTTACAGATGTTATATAAGTTATTGAGCACATACATAAATGATACTAAGCTAAATCTGTGTTGGTTACTAACGAAGTAAATTATTATTTGTAAGGTGGGAATTAAGGGACAAAACATATTGTTTTGTTATGACTGTAAAATAGAATCTTTTCGTAGAAATGTTTAGTTTTGTGTTTTGTTATGTTTTATGTAGGTCACTTCTAAATGGTGTTTAAATATTTTGAATCAATTTCTTGTTCTGTGTTATTGTATGGACTTTTTTTTTTACTTTTGTATTTTTATATCTCAGTGCACTATCTAGACTGACAGACAAATTATGTACCTATACTTATTTTAGCTCTTGTGATTTTTCCTAACTAGTCTAATGTTACTTTGTAGTTAAGTGTGCTACTTTTTGCTGGAGAACAAATAATTATTGTTGGTCTGTCAAAATAAATTCTGATTGTCTCTGAGAATAAAATGAATTTATTTCATATTTAGAATGCTTTTAACCACCATAAATTATTATTATGATGTACCGGTATGTCATATAAAGATAATTAATTATATAAATTACATCCTCAAATAAAAATTTTGGCTAAACCAAAGAAAAAAATTTACTAATAAAAGTGACACAATAATTTTTGATTGGATTTCTTAAGATTGATATTGAAGATGAAGTTCTCAATGTCACAATGGAAACTTTCTTTAGAATTTTTCTGTCCAATTTAAATCTTTTTCAAAATGTATATAATAAAACTTGTAAAGGTCCCCCTTGATCCAATAAATAAACCAGTTACTTCAATATCTTTTAAGTTATATTTTTCTTTAAAGTATGGAATTGTCGGCTCATATATCTTTTTTTTTTACATCCAATTCCAATGGTTGTTCTTGACTTAATTTGAACCTTATGGTTGGGTCAATAATAAATCCACTACTCCCTTCCTTATTGATAATTATTAAATTGTTGATTCTTCTTTGAGACCCGGGTCAAATTCAATAGATGACTTATTTCTTTTTTTATAATTTATGTTTTTTTTTTTAAAGGAGAGGAGGGAAAATGCTTTTACGCACACAGGTAGCCAGCCTGTAGTGTGAGACTCCTGAATTTATCACAGACTACTCACTAAAAAACCCCCTCTACCCTGTTGGACACAGACCTGGAATTGTTTGCCACATTACTTCAAGTCAGGCCAACATGTGACCTTAGCCCTCAGGGCTCTCACAGTTTCTGGCATTTAGATACTTTATGACCTACGCCGCATCCCGGTCAAGGTCAAGCTTCTTGGCACGGAGAATACCCTGGATGTAATGTGACACACAGGTCCAATTGTCTTCACCCTCCGTCATCATCGGTATGACCGTGTCCACCGGCAGCAGTCCTACTGACTGTTGAGCCTCCAGGCGGGGCCTTTCCCAAAGCTGGCAGAGGAAAAAGGTATGTTCCACGTCATCGGGAATGCCTGGGCAGTATGCAATCGGGTGACACGGCTTTGCCCACCCTGAACAGGTACGACCGGAAAAATCCGTGACCCGTCAGAAATTGGGTGAGGTAAAAGTCCACCTCTCCGCACCGCCGATTAACCCAAGGTTTGACTTGCTTTATCAGTCGCTTGGTCCAGCGTCCCCGAGTCTCCTGTTCCCAGCTCTCCTGCCACAGCTGGTAGGTGGGGTTGCGTTCCTCTGTTTGTGCCTGGTCCTCCCCACGGCGCTGAAAAATTGCCTTCCTCTCCGCCGCCAAAAGTTTGACGGGGATGACTCCAGCAACCACCAGGACGGCGTCGGACTCTGTTCGGTAGGCGGATGCTTCCTTAGTGCAGCCTGACGCTGCACTCGGGCGAGCCGCATCCTATATACCTCGATCCTTATTGAGAGCGTCTGCCCACACCTCCGCACCGTACAAGAGAACGGACTGGACAGAAGACATTAACAGCCTTCTACGGCTGGACCGAGGCTCTCCGACATTGGCCATCAACCGGCTAAGAGAGGAAACCACCCTAGCGGCCTTGTCCGCCGTACGGAAAATCTGATCCCGCCAGCTAAGTTTGCTGTCCACCATAACCCCAAGGTACTTGGCAGAGCGAACGGTCTGGACTTCCGACGGCCCCTACCCTCAATGGCACGATGGTGTCAATCCGTTTTTTTGTTAATATAACAATATCAGTTTTGCTCAAAGCGAGCGAGAGACCGTGGTCTGCCATCCATGCGTTTATGGTATGCATAACTCGGTTCAGCTTTAGCTGAGCCAGCTCAACGCTACGTGCAGCTATCAAAACTGCAATGTCGTCTGCATACCCAACCAAAACAGGTTCCTCAGGCATTCCAGACCTCAAAAGGCTGTCATACGCGACATTTCAGAGGTCTGGGCCGAGTATGGAACCTTGGGCAGCACCAGAAGTGACACTCATCGTCCGTGGGCCTTCTGTAGTGTCATACATGAGGAGGCGGAACCGGAGATAATCCTCTATGATACGTATGAGGTTTACCGGAACGTGGAAGGTGTTCTCCAGAGCATCCAGCATATCGCACCACCATAATTTCTATGTTAAAATCACCTGCAATAACATAAAATTTAAATGACTAACAGCTTTTTCACAGAAAGCTCAAAATGTTGTAGAAACAAACCAAATATCACCATCAGGGGATCTATAAACACTTAAAACTAGTCTAAAGAGTGTTTCAGAACTCCCTACCAATATTTTAAAGCATTGTTCCTGGGTAAGAATCATATCTAAATATCATATTTAAATTGTCAGGAAGTCCTAAGTTACTCACACAGCCGCCATATTGTTTTTTTCACTTATAAATTTGCATATAAATTATAAATGCATAAAACAAAATGGCGGTCATTTATAATCGGTTTCCTAAATAACTAAAAACACATTGATTTGAATAAAATTTTACAAGAAACATTTTTTTAGGCAATTTATTTAGAAATCGATAGACATCTTATTTATTAAGATTGGACTAATATTAACTGAGATATGGCAGCTTTAGTGATACATGACCACTGGAGGAAGTTGCAGTGCAAGCCGAGGCATGCGGCTAAAGTCTGTCCCAACATGCAACAGTCTCCATCCTCTTTGCAAGTTATTTTTAATAGATTTTAGATTATTTCAAACAATAATAAATTATTAGATTACCCTAAAAGCACATTTTTGATCAATTTATCTATCATTAGGATGGCTTAAAAATGTCACTCCTTTTTACTGTCTTTAAAATTCACACAAACCTTTTATATCAGCTGTGGTGAAAGTCAACTTATTTGTTTACAAACTAACCAGCTGATTTTATTGTTGCCTGAAATGTTGTTATTTATTCAATGTGGTCAGTTCCTGTAACTTTTTACACTCACTTTCATTAGCTGTTTAAATTTACTGTTTAATTAAGAAGCATCATAAGCATGTTATTAATGAATTAATTAAGAAAATATTTTTTTTGTCTGTTTGGTAAGTGGATATTGGTTAAAAAAGACAACTAAAAGAAGGCCCAATGGCTGACTACACTAATGAAGAGTACTGCGACATGCATTTTATGTATGCAGCTGCATTAGGAAATTCATCTCAGGCAAGAAGATTGTATGATGAACCATTTCCACGTCGACCATTACCATGTACAAAGACTTTTACTGCTACGGGATTACGGGAAAATGGAACGTTCAAAGAGGATAGACACTGTTGCATTGTTGGGGCAGACTTTAGCCGGATGCCTCGGAATGCACTGCAACTCCCTCCAGCAGTCATGTATCACTAAAGCTGCCATATCTCATTTAATATTCGTGCAATCTTAATAAATAAGGTGTCAATCAATTTATAATTAAAGTGCCAAAAAAAAGTTATTTTTTGTTATTATGGGGTGTAAAATCAACGGTTTTTAAGTTATATAAAAAAAGTTTTAAATGGCCACCATTTTGTTTTTTGGATTTTGAAAAATTGTTCTAACGGTGCCCTAAAATATTTGTGGGGAGTTCTGAAACAACCTGTATAAGATCATAATCAATTAGTTTAATGTAACTAAATTCACTTACTTTTCAACATATAGTCCCCTCTCCAGCAACACTTATACACTCTTCCCATCTTTCTGCTCATTTGCAAATGCCCTTGGCATAAAATTGTTTAGGTTGATCTCGAAGCCACGTTTGCCCTTGAGATGTTTTACCTCTTTATTGGATCGAAAATGTATCTTTTAGGGGTCCAAACAGATGGAGGTCTGATGCAGCAAAGTATGGGCTGTAAGGGGGATGTGGAAGGACATCCTATCCCAGTTTCTGGAGTTTTTCTTTTGTAAACTGTGCCGTATGTGGACAGGCATTGTTAAAGTATTAAAGTATGAATCAAAATCACGCCTTCAGTCAAGAGCCCACGGCGTTTCCTTCAAATTGCAGGTCTTATCTGTAGTACTGGCTGTTGATTGTTCTTTGGCCTTCAAGATTATCACAATAAATTTAGCCCCTGAAAATCCCAGAAAAGTGTAAGCTTGATTTTACCGGCAGATGGCTGGGTCTTGGAACTTTTTTGATTGGGAGTAGTCGTTTGCTTCCACTCAAGGCTCTGTCGTTTGGACTCTGGCTGACTGTGGTCGATCCATGTTTCATCACACGTTACAATTTTTATGAAAAAACCTTCTCCTTCAGTCGAATATCAATCAACTGTTGACTGATTTAAAACCGGTTTCTTTGTTAGTATCTGTGAGTTATCTGCGCACCCATCTCGCACAGGTTTTCTTGTACTGAAACTTGTTATGAATAACATAATGGACATGGACAGTTCCAACACTTCCGTTTACTTTTTCACTTATCCATCGGTTCAACGATGATACACTTACTGTCCCGAATTAACCCGTCAATCCGAAATTCGAGAGAGGAAGTACATCTTCGTTCGGTCCTCCACTGCCCTGCTCGTCAAAAACTTTTGTACGGCCACTTTAAAACTGTTCTACCCATTTGTAAACGTTCGAACGATTCAAACAATTGTCTCTATTTAGTTTTAGCGAATTTCCCATATAAGGAATAAGCTATTACTGTAGTACTCATGGTAAGGACTGGACCCAGGATCGATTTACTTTTTTGTTTTGAGGTCCCTAGAGGCCAAAAACACCATCCTTTCAAATTCATATATATATATACTTACTTACTTATTGCAAATGGACCCAGGCGGATCACAAAAAACACTTTTTTTTTGTAAGAGGTTGGCGGCCTCTTTTAACCTTGCATTTGCCCGGCCACATAGACTAAGCGCCCGTGTGTAGATCGTTTACAGCAAAGCAAGGAGTGAGCCGGTACAGTACAAGGTGAACTGTACTGATAAATTTTAGTGGCAGTGATCAGGATCCGAACCCACGACATCGCTGCCTTGGGCCCGAAGTCCGCGACGCTACCGACTGAGCCACTGACTCACAAACACACATCATTTCTGACATCATTTCATTTCATTCTTCTTTCATCCTTTCTCCATGTCTTCTTTTCCTCTCTTCTGCCCGTTTAATTCCTGGCTTCTTTGGTGCTTCTTTCTCTGACAAAACTACCCACTTTTTTATTTGATTTCTTTTAGCTCAATATTTTGTTTTTTGTAAATCAAATTTAACTTGTCCAATCCATGGGGTTGTTGATTTAACTTTCTTTTTCTACAACAACAACTGGTGGCGTTCAATCGGCGCAGTGGTTTCAGTAGTTTCAGTCATTGCATAGAAAATTATCGATCATAATTTTACTTTTAACATTGGAGTTTTTGCGGTTCATTCCTATAGTCCAGTCTTTGAGTAGTGGAAGCTCAACAAAATTGTTTCAAAAGGTTTCTCAACGGATTTCATTACTTTTATACCTCCACACAACACAAAAAAGTCTACCAAAATCTGACTTGGGGAAGTACCCTGATATTAGGGCATTTAAATTAAAATATAATGGAAGCTTAGAATATCAGTTTACGATCACACCGGATTCAATCTAGTTCATATGTACTGGAGTGGATCTAGTGCAACATAATATCATATGTACTGAAGTAGGCAAAATAACATCCTTTTTTCAGTCGAATGTGGCTGCTTCCTCAAAATAAAAGCTACTAAAGTGGAATATACTTGCAGGGTTAAGTAAGTTACCAGGGAATTACATAATTTTGTCAATTTCTAGCAGTTAAGTAATTATTTTGTGAGAGTGTAAGCCAGGCCCAACACTATTACATGTTAGGCCTACCCGATAGTTTTTTTATGTCCGATGGGGGGGGGGGGGGGGGGAGTGCCCTCTGCGCCCCCTGGCTGGATCCGCCACTGGGTAATCCAAAGTCTATAATACCACCATTACATTACCAGTATCAAATTTTAAAGATTTTCATAGTTTTTCAAAGTGTTTTTCATACTGTGTTAATAGAACCTTATTTGCCATATCTAAACTAATATTTGTATATCTATGACTCCAATTATTGAAATTAACAAATTATTAGGGTTTCATTGAAATGGCTCGAATATTTGTAATAAATCTTTTATTTTTCGGTAGATTTACACATAAACTTTTACTTAAAACATTATACAGAACTAATATCTGCTAGACTCATGATTAATAAATATATTCTTATTGAATGCTCATTATATTATACATACAAAGATCACATCACACGCAAAATCTAAATAAACCTGAAACTCTCATATGGCTTACTCCAGTCCTAGAGTGTTCAAAGTAAGGACAGTGATACCGGTATACATCGTCTAGACTAAATAACAAAATAATAAGGTCGTAATAAAATTATGGCCACGATTTTGATAAACCTCCGCAAGGCACTAGATTTTAGTTTGGAATCTTGTAAACTACGAGGAATCTAATCTAAAAATATAAATATGGGAAATATAACAAAATAACTATACGTCTACGCGAAAAAAATATAAATTCTCGAATCACTCGGAACAATATAGTGGCCATTATCTTTGAGCCTCAGGCAACTTTGAGTAACAATTCGTAAGACTAACTCTCAGTATGCTGACTTTAGCCTCACACTTTAGACAAGCAAAATAATCAATATATCACAAAGATACTAAAACTAAACAGCCTTTTCGTACAATTCAAAAATTACTTTAAAATGTCTTTTATAGCATAGATAGTGATCTAAGAGCAATAATATGTCAGATGAATGTACGATATAAATACATGTCGGCCGAGGGATGATTATGATCCACAAAGCAGCGGAAATTTCCCGTTCAACAGTTTCCTTTTTAAAGCTTTGTCCTGGTTTTTAAAGTGTGTCCATGAAACACTGGTGACTTAGCAGTCAGATTTTGAAACTATATAATACAAACCAATATACAAAACTTATAATAGGTATAAATACATAGTAAAAAATTATATACAGTGTAGTTATATACATAAAGAATATTTGGCTTTAATAATAGTCTACATATAAGTGATGAGCTACATGTACAGTCAATACTCGATGGTCAAGTTAAGTGAAATGCATTCACAATAATTCCAGAGTGTACTGTCAAAACTATTTGAACATTTTTGGTAGAATTCTTTGCTACTTACATCTCTACCATAAAATGAATTTTATTTTGTTTACACACTGTTATATTTCAAACGTTGATTTATATACAACAATAAACTTATGCCATGCAACATCTTATCCAACAATACCATACATCTCCTCTTAAATAATAATACTAAAAAAAACCACAATATATATACTTTTAATTTCATAAAACGCAACTTTATTGTTGAGCTACATAATTAAAAAATAAATAATTTTATGTTTCATTAACACCTATAACATTCAAAAACACTTTTAGAAAATAAAAATTTTAAACAACGTTGTGGTTTAGCCAAACACTTTTTAAAATAGGTTATACTACAACCGATTCCCGATCAAAAATCACAAAATTTTCACAATTTGGCCATTTAACTCACAGGCATTTACATAGAGGATATGCAACCAACTTTACACACCGTCCAACGTCACTCCTAACAGTCTATTCCCCGTCGCGCGCACTGTCGACCGCTACTACGCTGTGGGGAGTTGAGCGCAGTTGAGTCGATAGTGAGCGGTGGTTTGTCACTCGAGATGGCGATACTTGTGTGCAGTCATCTGACTGAGGCCGAGCACAGCGTACTGACAGCTCAGACAGTGGTAGTGAGTCTGCTTCTTGCTGTGTATGCACGTTTCTGGCGCACTGCACGGCTGCGTAGGGGTGAACTTCTCAAACCCGGCGGCCATGATGGAGTCCAGCTTCTGGTGATGTCTGCGGTGGGCGACCACCTTGTTGGTGTCCGTGCAGACAAAGTCACATTTGAGACAGTGGAAGTGCGACGCCTTGTTTTGTACAGTGCCTGAAATCATACAAAATGATTAGGTTCCAGAAGATAAGGGATACATTGGCGTATTTTAACCCAAACACTAAAGAAGGATGAGTGTAGAATGGAGTTGAGATACCTTAGTAGCTTTGTTGATAACTATGATCAGCTGTGATACCTGATGATCAAGAACAGCTGTGCCCAGTTTCAAACAATTTAGGTATTGACTTAATAATTTTGACATGATCATCCACATTACATTGTTAAAAGTATTGAGAATGTTGGTATTCTTAGATTTTTTCATTAACTGTAACTGTTTTATAACACCTATTAAAATTACAGAAACAATTATATTATTACAACAAACTTACAGTAAAGGATGAACAATTAATTATGTTCATGCTGCTGATTTGGGAGTGTAAAACTATTGGGGTTGCTAGTATATTTGGTTATCTGACAGAAACTTTGGATGAAGAAAGTCATTCTGTAAAGATCCATAGACAGTAAAAACTTAACAATCCTAACAAAGAGTAATAATGTTATTTCCATTTTAGATGTACTCCATGAAACCTAAAATTATCTGTTTGCATGAAAAGCTCTACCATTTGAACACTTGTGAAATGCTTGCCTCAAACAGCCCAAACTTTTTTGTTTTTGTAGTTGGGCTGAGAAATGTATATTTTCATAAATAAATCTTACGCAATTATTGACTAATAACCTAAAATAAATACCATTTCTGACAAAATGTCCTGTTACATATATGTGCTGAATAAGTACTCACCCAAAGTAGCTGTGTAAACACACTCTGGTCTACCACAGGATACATTTGCTCGGTACTGTTGGAAATCTCCTCCCATCAAGGTGTCAAGTCTGGAAAACAACATATTAGATTGTAAAAAGCTGTAAACGTAAACACATTATTGTACAAAACTGTTTAGCATGAGAGGGATTGAAGTATTAATCTATAAAGAATGTTACCTTTCATGCCTGGCTGTGTGCTGCACAAACCGGGTTTTGTCACAGAAGCTGTAGCCACAGTCTTTCCTCATGCAGTGGAAATGGGTCTGATGTTCCCTGTATCCACAATGGTTGTAACGGCAGTCCTCGTTGAATCTGCAATAAGTGGAACAGTAAGTTATACTCCTTTGTAAATGTCCGACAATCATAAACATAATTAATACAAAATACTGAACTGTAAATAAATAAATCCTGGTTAAATATTGTTATACAACTACTTTGTCATCAATTGTATTGTGAAAAAGGTATGAAATTTTAAAGCATGCTGTTTGTAGTTTCTTCTTTCTAGAAACCTTAAAACTAAAAGTTATGTTCAGCCCTTGCGTCTTTCCATGAGAGCATATGAAAAGCGTACTTCTCTACAAATGACAATTACAGATTCTTTATTTTACCTGCCCTCTTCCCCCAGGACAGAAACATCAAATACACAAACAATACGTTTACAGAGTTGTGCTATATACATCTAATATTTAATTTTAATAAGTGAAAACACTAACCATAACAATACAGACGTATAAAGATTTAATTAACACTTACAAATCAAAACATATTACATATATTGATAACTATAGAGATTTTTTATCACGCAAAACTACTTAGTCCAGTCAAGGAATGAGGTGTAGGGTGCGTGAGCAGGTAACTAAGCGATTCCTTCAGAAACTTGTTCAGGGGGCTTAGGGTGTTAACATACCAAAAGTCCTGACTCCTAGGTGGTGAGCCAGGGGGTGGAGGGGGGAAAAAGGGGGGGGGAGAAAGGTACGCATTTTGTTTTTTTTTATTATATCTCGAAAACTATCAACTTTTTGTATACTATAGTAAATTATAAAATTGAAGAAGTTTAAATTTTCTACAAGAAAAGTATATAATGTGTTTATTTTGGTTCACCAGATTACGAGTTATAACTTATTTAATTAATATCTTATTAAAATACTCCTTCCATAAGAAATACATGTAAATTAGTATGTGAAATGGGGCGAATCCTATCCGCCCAAAGGAAATATAACTGATATTCTGGAAATCTTGACAAAATTTCCAGTAATTTGACACTTAAATCATTAAAATTGATCCAAAATTAAGGCGAGGGCGAGGGAACAAAATGTCGAGTTTTGGTGTTTTTTATTGGAAATATTAAAAAAACCGTCAAATCATCCCGTTTTTAAACGCTCACCCTCGCTTTAATTTTTGACAAAATTTCATGATTAAAGTGTCAAATTACAGGGAATTTTGTCAAGATTTCCAGAATATCAGTTATATTTCCTTTGGGCAGATAGGATTCGCCCCATTTCGCATACTAATTTACATGTATTTCTTATGGAAGGAGTATTTTAATAAGGTATTAATTAAATAAGTTATAACTCGTAATCTGTTGAACTAAAATAAACACATTATATACTTTTCTTGTAGAAAATGTAATCTTCTTCAATTTTATAATTGACTATAGTATAAAAAAAGTTGATAGTTTTCGAGATATAATCAAAAAACCCAAAATGCGTACCTTTCTCCCCCCCTTTTTCCCCCCTCCACCCCCTGGCTCACAACCTAGGAGTCAGGACTTTTGGTATGTTAACACCCTAAGCCCCCTGAACAAGTTTCTGAAGGAATCGCTTAGTTACCTGCTCACGCACTCTACACCTACTTTTGGATCATTCATTGACTGGACTAACTATGAAATTGTAAAACAAAAATGAGGACATATAATTTTTTTAGTTGACTAAAAAGTAATAGCTAAAAAATAAAAACGAAGACTATCCTTACGCAATGATTTATACTCTTTATATATCTTTGTATTAAACAGCTTTTTAATTGCTTTAGAAAAACTTTTAGGACTATTTACTTAGCCCACTACAGAGATATTTGGTAAAATCACTAACAGTTGAAATCACATTATAAACAATTTACACGTACCTGAACCGAACATAGCCCTCAGGAACGGGTTCATCCTTGAGTATTCTCATGGATGTTTGTACTCGGACCTTCTTAGTTTCTGGACTCATGTCCCTGTGAGGAGATGGCAAACTGAAATAATTACAACATGTTAGAAAATTAGAAGACATCTTTTCAAACCAGAAATTAATTAAAATGGTTTCCGGTTTAGTCAAATTATTGATGCTATTCTTAAAGATATATTTCTGTAAAAGTGTTTGTACTTTTCTTTGCAGTTCTCTGCTTTCTTAGGGAAAAATCTCTAAGAATCTTTCTAGTTGAATCTATAAGATCTCAGAGTTCATATTCAATAACTAATTAACGTATTAAATCAACTCAATATTTTATTCCGATTTTGATGATGCAGGAATATAGCACAGAGAAATAAGATGCAGAGGAAACATTCATTGTACACTTAAGTGGTGTCTAGCACTAGTCGCTGGTGTCTAGGACAAAGTTCAATACCGCCTCCATCACTGTCATGTACTACAATAACGCTCATGGTGGATGAAGACCCCGTGCCCTGTGCGATAGGAATTTCCGCACAGTGCTCGCTGCTCGGGCCCTTCTATGCTTGTCACAAGTATATTTGCAGCACAACATAACAGAGCTGAAAGCTGAGGTCTTCCCATAAGCGTGTTTCCTCTGAACCTTATTTATCTGTGGCTATGCATAGTGATAAAATAAGAATATAAAATATTAACCACAACTTAAACTACTGTATGTATTGGAAAAAGTATAGGTAGTGGTATACGTAGCTAACATGGTATTGTAGCTCAGTGAGTGTCTTGAGCTTATAAGCCAGACACTGCTGGTTTGAACCTGTCTCCAGTCACCATTAGCTTGCCCATGTCACTTATACCGTATCATTTCATCACTGGACATCGCAGTAGTCTACAGTGACAGGTAAACAAACCTCCTTTGCATAATTAACCTAGTAAAAAACAGAAATATACTCGAAGATAAACTACTCACCTCCTAGCCAGTAGAGAGTCTGCTGCACTGTGGTCTCCAGCGCCTAGACCCATGGACGCTCTGGCAGACTCTAGCAATCCGTTGCCCATGAGGGCAGCGTGATGTGGTGAGAATCCAGGGTGTGCAGTAAACATGAGTCCAGAGGGCGAGGTGTAGAGGGCAGGCATGCCGTGGGGGAGGAAGGGGATGCCTTGTGAAGTCATCATCGCCAGCTGCTGGTTCGCCGCTACAGCCGCAGCCATTGCGGCTCCAAACCCAGGGTAGTGTGGGGGAGGAGGCGGGGGCAACAGCTCACCACTCTCTAGGTTCATCGGCATCATACCAAGAGCTGGAATAGATTCAGGTATGTTAACAAAAATAAGTATATAATATTTTGTTATACTGTAGCTATCTATTAAATCATCCAGTTCATAGTTTATTAACATTTCGTTCAAGCTTTAAAACTACTAAATGCATAACTTCTTCGAGTAGGATCTGTATTGGACTCATCAACTGGACACCGTGTGGTTTGAATCAGTAGATTTCCCAAAAACAGGTTGATGTTAAAGACACTATCCATTATCCATACTACAGTTTGAACTATTCAACTAACAAATGTTTTCAAATGTGTTTACCTTATAAAATTATGCATAAAGAAAATTTAAAAAATCTTGAAAGTTCATGAAACTTACAAACAAGAGACAAAACACTTCCATTCACCAATGTTAGAACCTCCATGTATAGATGCACAAATAACTTGTTCTACATAACGGTTGTTCCCCAAAGACCACAACCTACAAGACTGTGAAAGCCTATCCATGGAAGAATAAAACAAAAAAGTTTGATTTGATTTTGAACTTGGATTACAATTTGTCCAAGATAATGCATAAACATTTAATGAAACTGATAATCATGACGATAAGTAACTGACCTGGATGAGGGTGTTCTTCTCCCTCCTCATTGTTGTTATGTTCTTGCTTCACCATTATGGGAGGGATGGCGCTGGGACTATGCTTGGCTATGTGTGGCCTCAACCTCTCCAGCTCAGAGAATGCCTGTCAACATTCAATGAATTAGAAGCAAATTTTGTAACAATAAATAATTGACATAAATTCTACTTTGTGCTGTATGCTGGCACAAACCTCAGGCAATGCTCCTATTCTATCGTAAACCCATCAAAAAGGGTACAATGATAGTTTCCAGATTGGTCTAGAATAAAATAGCTGTTGTAAACCAGCGTTACCATTTTGAATGGACCAAATTTCTAATGTATACGCTGAAGAATTATAGTACGTAGGTTTCAGATTATTCTAAAAGTACTCAGTTTTTTTCTGCATTGGCAAGAGTTGGTGTGAATTTAAAAAGACTAAGCTTGGGGCATAGCTGATGTTTTAATAGACAAAATCATTATAAAAATTTTTAAACATAAAATATGTTTACCTAAAAAAATCAAATTAGCGTTTCATGGAATATGTTGCATACTTGTTAGAAGTTAGTTTTTGGTATCGGCATTGAGTATGTTTATACTCAATGGTAACGGTGAGCTCATGTTATTTGAGGGATTATTAAGGAAATTTTTTCAACAGTAACTGTGAAAACTCGTTTTCAACAAATTATGATACAAAAGGTTTACAATAAACCCTCATATAAAATCTCAAATAAATATCATTTCTTACAGCTACAGTAATAAATACTGTACTATGAATGTAGTTAAGACCATGCAACATATATACACTACACAGGTAACAGTTCATAGATGCAAATCCTGTTATACTATCATATTGTTTCCAAGCCCCACCTGATTGCAGGCGTTGCAGTGGTAATGCTCCTTGCGTTTGAGTTTGCAGAAGGGTCGACTGCAAGACAGCTCGGGGCCATAGCGCTCGTGACGCTCTACGCTCATCCACTCCGGGAGAGCGTGCGGCTCAGACTGCGGCTCTGACTTTACTGCGACCTCTGCGGCAAGGATTACCATGTTAGATGCAGGTTGTTAAAGGGGATGTGGTTGTTACGAAGAAAATACATTAGTAAATAATATAGAGTCAGTCAGTATGTAACACTAGAACATTTTTTGCAGGAGCACCTACAAACCGAATACATTTTCTGCTTGTAATTGCAAAAGAGTCATTCTATTGGGCACATGAAATAAACAAGTGTGCAATTACCTGCGTTCCAAACACTGGTTTCTTTTATATGTTGGATTTTTGTATTTTTCAGTGAGTATATTCTAGATACAGAAAAAATCCAACATTTTTACTGTTGCCAATAAACACTAGTTCTTGCACAGAAAAATATACATTTTATGATGATTTACTATGTTCTTACATTTGAAGTTTTGTTCAAGGAAAACTGAGTGAGTTATACCCAATCTTTAACCAGGAAACATACTGCTATCATATTTCTACGGTGGTTTTCATATTTACTTTACACATGCAGAAGTAGGCTAATATTACTTTTCAAATCATCCTAAAATGTCTTCTTCTAATTTTGAATTGCGTATTCTATTAAAAAATAGCTTTAAAATAAAACTTCTTTAAAATAGCATGCACTTATAAAATCATCAAATCAAAATATCATACAAATCATCAAAATATTCTTAATTTATTGTAACATATATTGCAATGTTCTACAGTTTATACCCAATGATAATGATGAATTGGAATGTTTAGCAGAGGAAAGAAAGAGAAAGAAATAGACAAAGGAAGTGAGAAAGAAAACAGGAGACCCACCTGCATTGGGGGAAGAACTCCTAGCATTGGTTAAGCCACAGAGGGGGTAGAAAGTCCCTGATGCCTTCACCACTACAACACAAGAAGTAGTCTTAGGTACATGCCTCCACAACCTTACCATAGCGAAGAAGACATTTCAATAAAAGTCAAAGATCTACTTTGTGCAAGCCATGATTCAAAAATTACATAGATTGACATGAAAGGAAATTCACTAGTGTCCTATGAACTGTTTTTACCAATGTTTACACAAACTTCTTACTAATACTTATTACTACCTTCACTAACTGTAGGCCTAATTCAATTGACAATAGTATTTCTCAGAAACTAAATCAAAATACAAGATCTTTGAATCATGATAAATAACTAGACAAGGCAATAGAGTGTAAGATGTATAATTCAGTAAACAGCCAAAATGCTTACAATATGCAAGTACCTACTCTAAATAAAATTTTACAAGAATTCTACTGACTCACTATAGCTTGGTGTATATAAAATAATTGTTCATTGAAACTATAGAGATATTGCCTGTATGTGAAATATGTTGGGTTTCTAGCATTCCGTAGATTATAAACAATTTATAAAGCTCATTACATTTTAATTTTTAGTATGCTGCCAATTACTTAGTTTCAAGTTAAAGTGCCTGCCACAAACCGCCTTAGAAATAGGGTATTTAGGTATCTTTATTCTCAAAAAAAGAAAAAAATCTCAAAATTTTGTTTGTTATCTTTATGTATCAACTGGACCTCGCCGACAAGTTTTTTAAACTTAGCGAGGCCAAGCTGTTGTAATTTCTTTAATAAATATTTGAATTTGAATTACTCAAAATGAATACCGGTATCGTACCTATTTTAAAAGCTATTACTGTACAGTCAAACCTATTATTCAATTTAAATAGATACCGGTATATGATTCCAATGATGCCAAGCACTACGGTAACTAATAATTTGCTCAAATGCATATAACAAAACTGTTAAAAAAAGAAATAAAATTGAAGATACTCTGTTGAACAAAATTGAGAACTTTTGTTTTAGTATGCAATATGTCACAAATATGCTCATGTATATAAACAATCCAAGAAAATTAAGTTCAGTCTTTAATGTACATGTCCAGCCAAAAGGAGTTAATTACTCCAAAATGTCAATTAAAGAAAAGAAACATTTTGTTTGAATGAAATGAACCAACAAATAATGAACAAAACTGTACCAACTTGGTACACCAAATAATTAACTATAATAAACATTTAAATTGTTAGTAAACATATTAGTTAAGTAATTTATGCTACTACACATCACTGTTAGTTTATTAAGGACCTATCACTGCCTACTATGGCTATTAGGAGTAAGATGGTTGGTAACTTCGAAGGAGCATTATTGCAAATGAATAGAGTTCAGCTATGAAAAACTAGAGTCCAAGGCCTTATAGGGAAAAAGGTAGGTCTTGCAACATAACACTGGTATTATTTTTGGTCTAGTACTTCCTCAGAGAGTAGACATAATACAAATAAACAAAAATATAAGAACTATTGTTATAGTTGATGCCTACCTTTTTACCAATGTACTAATCACTAATCTGCTCCCTGAAGGAGTCTTACACTAAAACATAAGTGTTGTGTTGTGTGATATTTTTTTAAATCTATAAGCCTTCACTTTTATTTTCAGGTAATCTAGCTGAATCCTACCCTTATCCAAACAAAAAAACTCTTCTAACGCCTACTAAAGCATTTTGATCTAAATTTACTGTTAGTATATTTAGCATGAGTTAGTTTATAAATTTGTTTCCCTACCTTTAGTTACTATTTGTAAGTTCATTGGAATCACTATTTCTCTACATGTTAATCTGTTAATTAATGGAAACTATTTTTGGATATTACAAGTGATGGAGTGCGCTAAGGTGGTGATGTTGGGCGAATGAGAAGTGCTCTAGTACTACGTGCTTTTTTATCTACAAGTAGTTACTGTGTAGCTGCATGCATCAAATCCAAACCTACCTGTTGTCCTAGCAGCTGATCCATTCTCTGGTGGTTGTAGGGCTGATGTTAGCATTCCAGGAGTGGATTGTCCTGTGGGAGTTTGAGATTGAGGATGTTCTTTTATCGGAGAACCAGCCAGTTGGTGTTGATTTTGTGCTTGATGTTGAAGATGTTGCGGTGGGTAAATGTGTTGTTCTCTATTGTCATTAGAACCTGTGGAAAAATTATAATTGTTATATTATTAGAGTCTAAAGTCTAAAAGATAAATACAAATACCTGTACCCTTGATATTTTACTTTAAACTGTTTCACGCTCTTCTACTATAGCAACAAAGTTTTTAATAAACATAATTATTTGATATATATTTATTTAGCTTCTCTAAAAAACCAATAAAGTAATTTTGAACTAATGTTTGTCAATGTCTCACAACTACAAAGCTAAATACTAAAGGAGTGTTCCAAATTTATAAAGGAACATTTTGCGGAACCATAAAAGCCACCTTAGTGTTGTTTTATTTTTTTAAATTTCAGAGTACCGGTAGTATAAATTACAACATCCATATCTGAGAAACTCAATGGAAAATCACAAAATGTTATTTCTTCACACCAAAAATAAATCGAATAACAGTATATGCTGGGAAACAATATTCATAAAGAATTCCATAGAAAACTACTATAGTTGGTATTTTTTTGCCATCCAGTAGTACCGTTATTTTTTATCTTTTGTTTTGACTTTGTAGGCTGGACTCCGTCAGCTGTTAGATACACTGTCCGTAATAATCGCTGTAGCGATTACATTTTTGGGATCCCATATTTGTATTTTATTTTCATTTACCTTGTCTGCGGGTGGTAGCTTACTGTTGGAGAACTGTTATTGGTAATAGACTAATAAAAAGGAATATTATTATTTAGAACAACAAGTTTAGAACCTAAACTGTGATATAGCTGAGTGTAACACATGTTTTAACATACTGAGGTCAAGCGTGGTGTCCCCTCCGCAGCTCATGCCCCCGCTGTTCTCCGCCAGATGCTTGGCTTGGTGCAGAGACATGGAGGAGTAACGTACAAAGGAGTAGCCGCAGCCCGGCCGCACACAGTGGAAGTGACGGTTCACTTTGTTGCTGCAGAAAACATTTGCGTCAGTTAACCATTCACAATAATAAGGAATTTTTCGAACAAATGTTTAGCAATGTTTTAGTTGAAAGTACAAAAAAATGTCAAATAACAAGTGCAATAATAATTATATTTACATAATTTATATGTAAACACTTACCATCTTTTATATGTATGTACAGTACCTACTGTATTGTGAGTTAACAGTATAATTAAGTGGATATACAGGGTGAGTTTTAATTGTCCCCCCCCCCCAACTTTTTCCTACATTTTTTCAAATATCAATCCCAGACCACTTCCAAACATTGTTGGGTAGTAAGTACTTCATTTTGACAAGGTGGTCATTTCCGGCCGCCATCTTGGATCCGCCATATTGGATGCAATTTTTTTTTTCAAATGTAAAGATGGGGTTGTGACCCATTATTTCGAACTAGATTTTTACCCTGATTACAATGCCGCAAACTGTTTTTAAAAATCTTGATTCATTCTAAAGTTATGAGGGCTTTTTAAAACTTTATTTTTAGCCCATTTTAACATTGCGCATTTACAAACTAAGACCATAATCTCAAAATAGTGCCAGATAAAGATAAGTATACACTACCAGTAATTGTCAACCTATTTTCACTTGGTTATGACTGATGTATTTTTTTCGGCAGCCATCTTGGATCCGCCATTTTGAAATGTGATAAATTATTTTAAATATGAAGGGGGTGTTGTGACCCATCATATCGAACTACTTTTTTAAGCTAAACTCAATGCCGCAATCCGTTTTTTGTTATCAAGTTTTATTTATAAAATATTGCAATTTTTTTGTAAAAAATGTCAAAATTTAAAAATAAAAAAATGAAAATAAAAAACGGATGATGGAATTAAGTTCAGCTTAAAAAAGTAGTTCGATATGATGGGTCATAACACCCCCTTCATATTTAAAATAATTTATCACATTTCAAAATGGCGGATCCAAGATGGCGGCCGAAAAAAATACATCAGTCATAACCAAGTGAAAATAGGTTGACAATTACTGGTAGTGTATACTTATCTTTATCTGGCACTATTTTGAGATTATGGTCTTAGTTTGTAAATGCGCAATGTTAAAATGGGCTAAAAATAAAGTTTTAAAAAGCCCTCATAACTTTAGAATGAATCAAGATTTTTAAAAACAGTTTGCGGCATTGTAATCAGGGTAAAAATCTAGTTCGAAATAATGGGTCACAACCCCACATTTACATTTGAACAAAAAAATTTGCATCCAATATGGCGGATCCAAGATGGCGGCCGGAAATGACCACCTTGTCAAAATGAAGTACTTACTACCCAACAATGTTTGGAAGTGGTCTGGGATTGATATTTGAAAAAATGTAGAAAAAAGTTGGGGGGGGGACAATTAAAACTCACCCTGTATATTATTATACAAGTGTTATTTGACATATTTTTTTTACTTTCAGGTAATTTAAAAACATATATATGCTGATCAAGAAGTTATTAATTATGTTTTAGTTGTATTATTGCTCATTTTAAAATCCATTTTAATTTTACAATAACTCAATAATATAGCCTACTTTACAGTTTTAGCAGTGTTGAACTAAGTATCTTTAATCATTTATCGTTACAGTAGTTATAACTGGTCATGTATCTGAGAAAATAGAGAAAGGAATTGGCAATGCTCCTGTTAGTCGAGCAAAAACCATCAACTGTCTACTTTAGTAAATTTATATGAGGGATGTTTACAAACATATTTGTCAATCAATCACAATCAATGTTTGTTAATCGTAACAATATTTGCTGTACAAGGTGAATCCAGAATTTCTTTCTCTATCTTAAACAAAAAATAGATTTTTCAAATACCAACCTAACACAACTCTCCAGTCTGCAGTCAACAGATCTGTCGAAGAACAGGAATCCATCGAGGATTTCAATGTTGTCGTGGAAATCCTTAGAGTGTGCTAACAGCTGTTCCTCACTGTCAGTCGCAAAGAAGCATCGCTGTCGACTGCAGTGGTAGTGTAACGGCTTGGCCGAGTAGAGGCACAGAGGGTCTGGGCATCCATCGTTGTACGCTTGGAAACCATGCATCTCCTGCAACAATATCCATTGTCATTATTGACTCTTTATAAAAACATTTTAAAAGCATGTTACCTTAACAGTTTAATATAGTGTACATGAGAGGTATAATGTTTACTTTTAGCCTTTGGCAGTGGATGGAACTATAGACATTACATTCCTATGTCAAAGTCACCAGTTTTAGCATAAATATGAATGTAGTTGTTGAGCCACTAAACAAAAGAGCGATTATTTAATTTAATATTTTGAGCTATAGAAACTTTTTAACCAATTCTAGAATTGCATACTGTAGCTTTGTTCACTAACCAGCATCTGTAATGAAGGCCTAGCAGGTGCCTCAGCGGGGGAGGGAGTGCGAGGGTCTAGAGTGTCGGGTCCAGACGGGGCCAGACCTAGCCCCACGGCGGGGGGAACTCCAGCAGGCTTAGGCAACTTGAAGCTAGTGAAGATGGCCTGTGGCGAGTCAGAACCCATACCTCCAGCCTGTGGCAATAGTTACAGTGAATTAGTAAAACTCATACTCTAGCTTAACTGTAGTCCTTCAATTGCAGTTTATTTTTTAAAAATAAAATAAATAACTCAGCAGTTGTACCAGGAGGATTTTTAGGTAAGTCTAATTTACGATACTTACTTGCCTCGATAGTTAATGGTAAGTATAGTCCATTAACAGTTTTATTTATTACAGTCCAGGGACTATAATGGGTTCTAAATTCTCATGTTTTTAGGTAGGAGGTGTTTGGGAAGTAGAATCCTTCTCTCTTTTATTATTTTTACAATAATTTTTTTGGTTCAGTATAATTTATGAATTCTTGATTTGATTAATTTGCAGTTATTGAATAGTTTATCTTTTGTGATTTTCCAGCTCTAGTTGGGTTTGTGTTTTAGTCTTATGTTTTAGACACTTTCTCATCTATGGATGAAATATGGAACTACTTACCAGTAATAATTGAATTATTTCAATATTTTAACAAACGTAAGCATTTGACTAAGGTTTTATAAACAAACAAAAATAATTATACAATCTCTGCTACCAACAGCGCTGTAAGAATTACTAACTTAACCAAACAAGTTTTTAAAAACTACAGGAATAATGGCAAAATCAAGATATAATACTTACATAATCATTCCAAACCTGAAACAAAAAAGAATACAATTAATTAAGATGTGTAATTAATAATGAATTTATGTAATCTACAGAAAATCAGATTCATTAGATAATTTTTGTACTGTATTGATTCTTATCAAATTACAACTACCAACTTCATACTCTAACTAAATTAGGCTACATCATGTATTACATTTTGCAGTTTTAGTTTTAAATTAGTTATATTTCCTTATATTAATTATTTAAGTATTGTATGTTAGCTGAATATAATTTCAGGGTATTTGTTCGTCACTAAATGATTATCAACTGGAAAGTAAATGTATGAAAATCAATTCTTTCTGTCATTTGCAAACTGGAAAATAATGGTTTATTGCACAAAGATAAAATCAGGGCCACTTTAATGAATGGGCTTCTTGGGCCCAGGCCCAGGGAGGCAACAGGCCTTAGGTTTATTGGGGATGCAAGAAAGAGAAAATTTCCCCTAAAAGGAAGGAAGCAGGGGTGCAACTATCTTTCAGGCCCATTGTGTATCACATGCAATCCGTGGTCCTGAATAAGCTGCTAAGGATACTTATAATTTATAAAAATATATTTTTTAGTGTACCTCGATGACCCTGTTCTTCGGAGGTCGGCCTCTTTTCCGTCGAAACAAGGCGTCCAAGGAGTTATTTTGACTAGCAGTGACTTCATGATTCCTAAAGTGATCGAAGCGCTCATTTGGTAAAACAGCGTCATTGCAACCCTCCTAGAAAATTAATTCATATAAATTAATTTAGTCATCAACATTAAGATATGTTAGACTGTATACGCTACACCATAAAAATCTGTAAAGTTCTCAATAAAAAGAATAAATTGAAGAAAGTTTTATCACATCAGTGTAAACCTTTTGCAAACCTGTATATAACGTATTTAATCTATTGAAATATGACTGGTAGGTTGTTGTATTAATAGTCAAAGCTGGTAGTATATTTTTTCAATTTTTCTAATAATTACTGCATCTCTTACCATTTTCATTCCATTCAACAGATTTCAGGAATGAGAAATGCTCAATTATATTCTACAAATAAAGATGTCAATTGAGAGCATGAAGCCTGACACCAGTGTTTGATCAAGGAAAACAAACATGTTTGATTGAACACCACATTTTCCCAAGCGAACATCAATCTTTCCAAACAATCATATGAAACATTGAAACCATAACGACAAACAATAACGACTGCTCAATTAACAGTGTCGATACAAGAACACTTGTTTTGGTGGAATAATGTCGGTAATGAATGAACAATCCACAGGTTTAATTGAAACTTTGATGATGCCACATTTGCTGAGTCGTGTTCGTTAGAATTATTTACAGTAGGCTCTTGTTGCCACACATATGGGACCGGGATTATTGTTATGGATCGTAGACAGTTATGGATTACTAGAGGTATCAAAATTCAAACACACATAACCCATTTATAGAAAAAAAGAAGATGAAACCTAAACACACGCACAGATAAAGAATAACGCTTTTTGATATTCATAAACTCTTCAAGCTAATACCATTATTTTGTGTGCTACAAAGACTTTTCTTTAAATTCCTGGCGTTTCTCCAAAATTAAGACTATAAATCATGGTCTACTTTTCAGCTAAGTTACTTTATATTTTGATCTAAATTTACGTTCATTCTGAACTTAATATACAAATAACACAATAAAATCACTGAGAAATACAAAAGTTAAGTAAACTACTAAATTTCCACCACAAAAAAAGTGAATCCACAACCAATACTTATGGAAAACATAGCCAAGCCAACTAACAGGAGATTGTTCATGTTTTTTTAGGTAAGGTCCATGATCCCTCTGACACTCGCTAGGTATATTGCCGCCATTGTAGAAAGTATAATGGATTATGATGTATCATTTACCCAGGTGCAATGGAAGTGAAGGTCGCGAGGACAGTTCTCCTGACAGGTCGCAGGACTACCTTGGTAGAAGTTGTCACTGACTCTGTCTTGGGCCTCATGAATCTTGGCGTGACCTTCCGCACTCTCACGACACCTGCACCATACATCAAGAATGAGATAACTAGAGAAGTGCCATTGTATTGCAATAAAAAAAAACATACCAGTGAATATCAGAAACTATTTGTTATTCATTATTGTACTATCTTTTTATTTTTCCTCTAAATCTGAAAAAAACAAATAGCATGCTATTAAGTTAATACACACAAACCAAACTCACCTAAAAGGCATATCACAGTTAGGCTCCTTGCAGTGATAATGGTCAGTTTGGAACAGTCCACACTTTGGGCCAGCGGGGCACAGCCCTGTGGGATGATGGGCCCATGAGTCACTGCCCTCCTCACTGCTAAGGTCCAGCGCGGAGGCGGGAGAGTGTAGGGATGCTCCGGGAGGCTGGGGTGTCCTAGGGACCCGGGTAGGGGAGGACCGTCCCTCGCTGGAGCTGTTACTGAAGTTGCTGTCGTGGAGTGCAGTCAGGGCTGCCAGGGAGGACGCTTGCTGAAGTAGCTGTAGGGAGCTGGTGGAGTCTCCGTGCTGAGCCAACTGAGGGAAGAAACAGAGGAGCTATTAGGCTGAGTAACATAAATGTGTGTTACCACCAATTTAACAAAATAGATCTTCAAATAAATCTGAAGAAAGTTTTAAGGTATGTTTTGTATTGTAACACCATGTATGTAATTTGTGGCCAATCATTTCTTGTATTTTGATTCAGAAATATTATGACGAATAGAAAAATTGATTTGTAAAACATTGCATTTTGTAATATAACCAAGTATAAAATTCATCTGTAAGAGAATATTCACTTTAGAATCAGAGGTATTTTATTTTTGATTCAATTTTCCTTCAATATCCTTAACTGGGTTTTTCTACTATATAAGATTGTTTAAACGTGTTATATGAGAGAATGATAAAAACACATTGTAGACATTACCAATCCCTGAACACACATTAAAACCTGGTTCAGATTTTATAAAATTTTAAACTACATTTACAATACCTGAAGTATGGCATTGCCATTAACAGGAATATGAAGTTGTTCTAATGACCTGCCAGCAAACTACTCCTAAGAATACTGAGATATGAAAGGATAAATAATGAAGAATACAAAATAATACATTACATGAAGAGAAAGAGAGGACTACGCAATATATAGATTGTACAAATGAATATGTGGAACTGAAGACTGAATGAAGCCTTACTACAGAAGAATAAAGACAGATCAGATTAAAATATATCTGAGTTATACTTCCATAAGTACTCTGCAGATAATAAAGAGATTCAATCTTACCTTTTTATCCGTCATAAAAAATAAATAAAACTGGCACTAACCACAAAAAAAAACAAAAAAAAAAAAAAACAAAGAAACTTCTGATTTTCCATAGAATAGATCACTTAAGGTTGATTTTTAACTTCCTTGTTTAAAATTTTTTAAGCCTTGAGTTAGAGAAAGATGCAGTTTTGTCTTTCCGCTGGTCAGCGTTCCGACTCTGCCACTGTCTCATACTCCGGCTATTGTCAATCTGAAATCTCAACACTCGACATCATTAGATCACAACTCGCTCCAGAAATCTACATTGATATACCTATTGACAAGAAATTGTGTAGTTAAATAATTATTTGAATTTCTCTTCTCTCTTTTTTGCAAAAGTGGGATTGTGTTTGGTATTTGAAGGTTTAGTAATATATTTTTTTATTTTTCCTTGATGAGACCAAAAATAATTATTGCTTATCAAAGATCTTATCTGTGGACTGGAACAGAAATAACATTTTTGCAGAAACTCTTCAGAAATTTGACTTTTGCATCGAGGGGGCATGTGACCCCCACCACACCCTATACCTCTGAAGCTTCTATATCAATAGTCTTTGGTATTACCTATTACCAATACAGTACTTTCCACATCCCACAATACTCACGTGTTCACTGTTTGCCAGGTTGACCACTGCTTGTTGCGCCAGTTTGAACTTGCGGTAGGCAATCTCACTGTCCTTGCGCTCGTGTTTGCGCTTGTGACTCAGCAGCTGACCACTCGAGTGCAGCACGTAAGAACAGCCGTCTCGCACACAGTGGATGTGGTTGCAGACTTGTGAGAACCGGCAGTTGGGGAACCCGCAAATGTCCGGCTTGAGGAACTTCTTGAAACCGTCTCGAGCCAACTGTTCGTCTTTGATGTGATATGTTTTGTGTTTTTCTGGAAAACAAAATAAGAATCAGTTGAGGGTTGATTTGTCAGTAGTAGGAAAGAAAGAGCATTTTGTTGGAGGATGGAGATCAATAATTTATTTAAAACCAATATACCTATTCAATATTATACTCAATTTTATGAACATTTAAAAAAATACCAGAGTAAAATCCACTACTTTATTTTATGATGATAGCCACTTAAAATTAGGTAATAAAAGGCCATTAATATGAGTATGAGATGATCAAGATTCCTACAAACTGACCAACAACTTGACAAGGAAAACATTCATTAGCTCCCATTCAAGACCATTACACATTTAGAGCCACAGTAATGCAACGTGCATTCCTAATCTGAGGCCGCAAACCTGTTCAAACCACAACCAGGCCTGGTTGAAACCAGAACAAAACGAATTCCAGCTACACCCAAAATATTATCATTCATGTATTCACTAAACTGAAAGAGACGAATGAGAAACCGAAGTTGAATTTGGTAAATCATGACAAATGATCGGAACAGATGTGTTGTTGGGGTAAAGTTAATCAAACTTCATTGAGGACGGATGCCATTTATACCTGTCCGTATAAGAACACAATTAATCACCCGATATCGGTCTGTTATCAACTGTTCCCATCAGTCAGAGGAGAAAGCAATCATATGTTGCCAATTCAATGCTGATTCAAATTAACCTTTGTTGTAGACTCATAATTCCTCCGGTCGAGTCCGCTTATCACCCGGCTCTACTTAGTCTGCAACTTATCTGCAAATCTCCGAGTTTATTCAGCTTACCGCATTACAACATTTGTCCGGGTGTCAAGATATACTTGATAATGGTCACCCTACTTACGGCAACGATACTTTATGCTGTACTTAGTGGTTAGGAAACCGCTAATACTTGCTGGAACTGCCCATTCTACTGTCTTGGAATCCTATCGTAATTTTCTGCATAGTTTTGATATTGTAAACCAGTTTTTGTTGTCGGATATATTCCAATTGGTTTGTAAATGTGTGATGTGATTCGGGATTTTAAATTGTTTAGAATATTTAAAGTTCGTGTCCATTACCATTACCAATGTCTAAATAATGTACAGTAAATTTAAAGCATTCTAGGGAAGCATTGTAGGGGATACCAAAACACTCGTAAAATTGCCCAAATTATTCCACGGGTTAGGAATCCTTGAAATTATAAATAACCTATAGGCCTAAGGTCAACTTTATAGCTAGAAATGACATGAAAACACATTTCAAAATACAGCTATTCACTCGCAATAGGTGCATAGTCGTTAAAAGAGAGACACGACCCAGTCAACGCTAACCCGTGATTAATTTGAATTCGAAGTCAACTTATAAATAAAATTGTTACTCAAGGATTTGGTTTTACAGATGAACTCACCCATGTCAGCCTTATTCTTGAACGTGAACTGACAGTGTTCTCGACGACAGTGGAAGTGCGTGGTCCGCTGGCCGAAGAAGGCGCAATATGGAGTGCGACACTCCTCGGTGGCCCTCAGTCGCTGGAACCCTTCCTGGATGATGGCGGAGTCCTTGCGGTGGTAGTTGGCGTGCATCTGGACATCCGAGGTGCTGATGTACACCTTATCACATGTACCCTGCGAGATCGATAAACATGAAGATGATTTCATAGTTTTCTATAGTTTAATTTATTTGTTGGGGATGCTTAGTTAATTTTCGATTCTTAGGGAATTCCAAACGGGAACACAGTTTTTAGTGAGAGAACTAAAAAAAATGTACAAATGTACCTAAGTTAATTTTTTTAGGTTCAAAATTTCGACACCATGCTAATTGACAATTTACAAAGCGAAATTTTAGTTATTGAAGAGAATTGAACGTCTTATTTAAAAACATTATACTGCATCTAAAAATAATCACTAATTGAATTTTGGCACAATAAAATCCAAACACGTGGAAACGGAATATGTCCTTAGCGCCTTCCGATGGAATACGCAACTTGCGACGCACTAAATACGAGAAGAGAACCTTACGCGTGCAGGCGCCTGACTCTACCCGACTGAAGATTATCACATCTACTGTATAGGCCTACCTGTATGCAGTGGTAGTGCGTCTGTTTCCTGTTGTGTGTACAGTTGTGGTAGCGATCACTGCAGTCGTCACTAGGAGAGTACCTCATGAATCCATGCTGTAAACTCTCGTCTCGCTTCTTGTGCCACTTGAAGTGACGAATCATCTCCTCCTTCTTGACGAACACGCGGGAGTTGCAGTCCAGACAGTGGAAATGCTCCCTGAACATTCACACAGAGATGCAGAACACTCGCAAATAGAACGTGGCTTCTAGTTGTATTTGTTGAAGGGGGTGAACTTGTGTGTTGGAAATCCTAAATATGTTCTTCAAAGATTTAAATAGCCCGGTATGTCAGGTGTCAGGTAGTAGAACCGGAACGTACACAGAAGAAAGGGTTGGTGAAAAAAAATGTAAAAAAATAAAAGTAGCTAATTTATGTAAATGATTAAATATAACGAATAAAGAAACCATTTAATGAATGACTTGCAATATGCCACTGAATGCCATTTAATGAATTCAAGTAGAGACAAAAAATTGTGACATTATTTTATAAAGGGTAAATTTGAATTCCTACATTTGAAGAACGTGAAGTAACCGAGAATCCAATCTCTTGGTTGATATCCACTATGCTCTATTTACCAAAGAGTTTGATGTGGAAAACAACGGCCAAATCTGCACATATTTCCCGTAAAACAAATAAGCTTTAAAAATCAATTATATTCACCCTGTGTTCGAATTTCCCTTCTATCACGGGACTTACTTAGAACATAAAACGATTATTTAATTAACAGTTTAGTTGAATATAAATCTGTGAAGTTGCCTTCCACTTGATGTTGATTGGTCGGGCGGATAGCTCACTGAAGTGGACTTCCTTTTGATGAGTTTGATTAATTGAACTTTCTGTTTCCTCCTCACAATGTTTAACAGATGTAATCTGTACGCGACAGATGGTCGTTTATAAAACTGGCGGGAGTTAGAACGCTGAAAGATTATGTTGGAAACAAATAAAACTTGGACAACTGTTACGTACACTGGGTGACTTCGTGGTGAATCCTTGTGATGGGTTTGGGTTTAGCTTGTATTGTGATTCTGTTACTTTATTGTTGGTATTTGTGGTACGAGTTTCTAATACTGTTCCCATTAAATATTACTAAAGTACGGTCTTTTAAGACAAAATTGGCAATATTGTCAAACCAAGAGGGAAAAGTCTAAACCTTTACCTTATAAGATAAAAACAGTAAGATCAGATTATTTTTTCCAAGAATGTTCCGGATTGAAAAAGTACATGTCATAAATAGCTTTATATGATTAAGACATAGGTCAATTGTTATTAGTTTCTATACTCAAGACATAAGCCATCGACAGGTTTGTAAGCTCCAAACATAAGCCAAAGATTGTTTTGTAAGTAATACTACAACTAAGGACATGGTTTAATTATAATCTCCCACACCTTACATATTTTTATCAGAGAACAGAGACCATGCTGGTCCTGCCGAACACAATCCCTAATACCAAATAAATTACATAACTATCCTTATATTCCTTAACGGAGGTCAGTCTCTAATCGCAACACCAAACTCCCTTGCGGGCAAGTGTTTATTATAGATGGGTTATTCACATGGTCGACCTACCTATAGTTGAGATCCTTGCAGTAAGTGTTGTTGCACTCCAGAGCGCTAGAGAACCGTCGGACGTACCTAGAGTAGTCCACGGGGGCGGAGACCTTGGATGGGTCGCGGACACTGCTGGGGCTCAGCGGCATCCTGGGGGTGCCTGAGGACAAGGAGGTCAACGTTAGACAGGAGTCAGCTAAGTGTAGGTCCAAAGTCTATATGCAAAGTTTAATGGACGTCTAAGTCTCGGTGGTTTGATGGATTTGTCTCCCGTGCTAAATCTGCAAAATCGACGAAGTTACAACGTGGTAACCGATGATAATGAAAACCAAAGGTGAGATATGTAGCACAGCTGCAAGTTGAAAAACAGCTGGATGAGAATGAAGAAAAGGTCAAATTTTAACATGGTACATGGAAGTCTAGTGTCAAGCCGCCTTTAGATATACAGTATCGTCAACGTAACAAAGTATTTATTATCGGTGATCTTTTATGGATTGTACACAGTTAGTCGTCTTACAACCAACTATTTGTGCAAAAAACATGCATTAAAGAGACCATGTTGTGAAACAATGTTTTTAGGCAAACAGGCTTACTTTATTTATTTATAAAAATATTGTGATTAAGTTACACCTCCTCTGTAACTGCTGTTTTATTTTTCAGTAAACCTGAGATTTGACTCATCACGTACCAAAAAAATAAATTTGGTTATAAATATTGTTTCAGCCCTGTTTTGATGGACATCTCATTATTGTAAATTGTAGTTAAAAGTTTTTATTGTTAAAAAACCCAAATAATATTGTTAATAGACCAAATATATACGTTTTTAAATCCACCCACACAACAAGTATTTATTGAGTTAACTTTTGCAACAGTATACTAGACGTAGGAAGAGATATGACTGGCGAATACTCCAATACTCGACCGCTGTAACGGGTCTGTTCGTGAGCTGAGCTGAGCTGAGCAAACTGATGTGAGAAACGAGCAAACATCATGAGCAAACACGATCGAGGAATTTGAGCTTTTTATCAGTATTGAAGAGCTGGCTTGTTATTCCAGGTGTCGGCGCGCCCTGGAGCGGTGAGTCGACGGTTTCGTCCATTCCCACAGCATCCCACATCACATATCACATATTGTCACATCTCACGACGTCGCATCACGTCACATCCGTGCGACTTTTCCGTAAAAAACTGTGTTATCTGCCAAAACCCGAACCCTTCCTGGATGTGCAAACAACATCCCTTTTTTCGCCGCGAGGGGAGCCAATTCCGGGCCTAAAGGGGCAACGGATATTTCCGACGCGTTTTTTATATAAAAGTTTATAAATCCTTAAGCCTTTCCTTTTTACGGGTCGTTCGGACGGGCCCTTTCATATTCCGCGCGCTCGGGTTTCAAAAGAGGGGAAGGGAAGGTTTTGTTGGGAAATACTCGAACGCAACCCTTTACGCGCCGAATAAAACCTTTATAATCTTCAATTTTAATCAGAAAAACTAGTTCGGGGGGACCGCTCGCACCTGGTCCCAATTATATAGCGGCCCCGCTGTCCGTCGCTGTGATTTGCGGAATATTAAGCGCATTATTTGCTCTCTTTGCGCTTCCTGCCGGCATTCACGAGATTGAACATTTGTTTGTGCAATCGCAGCGCCAAAGAGTGAACTTCCTCGAGTACATCAACACAGGAAACGCCTGCTCGGTACTTGACAGTGCTTGTTACTCGTAGCTACTGCTGCTGTCGAAGATACATTGTACTACAGTCCTGTTCTTATTTCACTCGTCCTAGGTGTCAAGTCGACCACCCGCATCAGTAACACCAACACCTGCCAATCGACCATCCGAACCCCAAAACAATAAAAGCTTAAAGCTCAGTGAGTAGTAGTTTTTGCTAATCGCAACACGTATCCTGGTGGGAAGGCCGCGGGCCGAGACCACCAGACCGAGGTGCGAGACTCAGACAAAGGAGTATCGCCTTACAGTGACGCAAACCTGGAAATACGAGAAACAGGGTGACTATAGACTACGTCATTAGGATCGGAAGGAAACTGAAAAATAGAGACAAATGTAGCGGAGTCGGGTGTCGTGCGTGTGAGAACTGGTTTTTTGTAGGTTTCATACAAATTCCGGACGGATTACGCAGGGTTTCACGGGAAGGGTTGAAATTCGAGCCTCCGTTCGTACTGCTTCCGTAGTAAACCCTTCCGCGATACCTGCCATGGGAACTGGGGTTGGCGCGGGGCTTGTGGGGTGCATTTGGGAAAAATAGTTAATCTGAGTAAAAACTCTTTTTGCTAGTCACTATTGACCTGTGCGTGAGAATGTACTATCCTACTGTAACTTCGCTGAAATCAGTGACTAAACTGCATACAGTAAATTAGTTGAATCTGCTTCCACTCTACAAATGTTAACAAATATCGTAATTGAAATTATTACTAATATGGTATAGCAAATCACAACATTATAACATGGCAATATACAATCATAACATCATAAAAATATGTTTAGACCTTTTAACTGGGATTAAAAGATGTAAAATTGCTCATTGGCCGTAAATTCCTGTGAGATACACTAACCACACTACTACAGTATACTGTAATGAATAGGCATATACATTATGTTTTATACATTTTGAAAATTTACGTGATAGGACTAGTTTAGTTCCAAACACAAGCATAATTTAATTACACACATTTTCAAAGAAATTGTTTTAAACTGATGTTAGAGACAAAAATAATATTACAGATCCAAGCCGACAACGTCAATGGTGCGTTTTTCCTGTGTTTAAAATATACAAAGCTGCTTGGCTGATATGCAACCACAATCTTAGATATTTACAAAGTATCGCCAGTGGAGGAAGTTCAATGATATACTTTAGCATTCGAATTTCGAAGTAGGTAACTTTTTATAGCAGAAACTTCGCATCATACCGACTGAAGGATAAAAAGGCATAGGATCATTTGATGTATAAACAGTCATAACTGTTCATTGATATCATAGACATATATTTTATGTAAAAATGTTGTTTTACAAATGAAAACTCAAACTGAAAAAAATCTCCTCAGATATTTCCCGTTCTAATAGAATGACAACAACACATGAACATCGCTTGTGGTGATTATGGGGCGAGAGCCAATCAAATTTCCATTTCATTAACACTCGTAAAATTATTTAATTAGTTCGCGAAGCTAAGTACTCGTGCAATTGCTGCAATTGCGTCGATCGGTTGAACCAAATGATTCCCTTCACACTTTACGCCAATGCCGTATAAAAACCTCCGTATTGGGTAATTAGGGACTTGAACAACACAATAAACGCGTGGAACGAGCTAAACAACTTTTATTTTGGTAATTCAGACTGTCTAGGTGAATGTTTTATAGGAGCATTCGATCACCTAACATAAATACAGGACGAATATGAAATCACTTAGTTCGAGGGTGTTTTTAGAAGTTCATGCGTGTATTTTCAAATGAAATAATGATAAACATCAGGGAATGAGAAGAAACTATACGTCTCATTGAGATGAAGAACTACTTGGTTCCTTGCTACTGGAGTTTTTATATTTAAAAATTAAACATGAAATAAGTTGAATTGAATTAGAAACTATGAACAACTTGTATTTTTTGTATACTAAACTGGCTGGTTTTAAAGGTTTTCTATTCAAATTAACCACCCTATTTTGGAATGGAGGATGTATGTGAATATTTAAAATTGTTTCTAATATTTAAGGAACCTTAGCATTAAATAACATTTTTAGTGAAGATTTACTTCATAAATTAGCATATACAAACGTGATCGAGTCAGACACATTAAAATAAAACTATAAAATACTAAGCAGTCTGCTTTTTGCATCCGATGTATATCTGAGCATCTAAAATCGCGTCTTCCCACCAACTCTCTTTATATTGAAAATGTGAGAAAATAATGTTAATATTATAATAGTGTTGATAATGTTAATTTTATTCAGAGTAACAATTTTTAAATCTACCTGTGTTATTTCCTCTCCTAAAATAGTACACGATATTTTTTAATATTGTTAGTTTACTTGAACACTTGAATTCCAAATTGTAAAGGTGTATGTTACTTAATGTACAGAAGTAGCTTATTGAGACGACTATACCATAGTATATGTAAAGTGACTTTACCAACAGAGATAAAGTGTGAGAGAGAGAGGGGGGATACGAGTTGGTAGCCGCCATCTTAGTGGTCTATTGTGCAGTTAATTCCTGGTTATATTAATTATGAATAATGATGGCTGGGTGAGCCCACGCACGACGAGCCGATCTGTCGATGTATTGGAAGTTGGAACAGGACCAGAGAGTGGATACTTTACTGAAAATAACGAGTATTCGTCCTGGAGCGAGGGATTTGTAGTGGAAATGATGAGTTGTACATTTGGAGAGTGGGTGGTCATCTAGATCTAGAGAATTGTGGTAAATAAAGTACGGGACTCGTGTTATTTCGTTCTACATTTTTGTATACTTAATTAAAGAGATGCATAAGTTTGAATATGTAGTGGACCCTAGTGGTGTTAACGATTGCATTGAGAAATAATACACAAAATGTATTTATCCAGTCCAGTGTACGATAATAAATTTATAGCTACCTCTTTGTAGGAAAATTCGCCAATAAGCACGAAATATGATGCAGATTAGGTAGAAAGAATTCCATTAAAATAAATGTTAAATATTTCAACGTGTGCAATCACATTATAACGTTTGTTTAAGTGTGAATTTACAATAATAAATGGATAATTTTTTGTAAGTCCGTCACAATGAACTTATGTTAGCAAATTATTTAAGTAAATTAAAATAGCAAACTATAAAAATAAATACTCAAAGTTAATAAATAAATATAATAAATCCTACAAAGTAAAACCTATCTACCCTCAAACCTCAATTAATTATTAAATCGTAAAGTTAAAACTCATAAACCAACGGAAAATACGAGTTTGGAATTGACTATAACTGTCTCAGTGCAGTCGAAGGTTTTTTGCCCGGGAAATTTATTGGGGCTTTGATAGAAGCTGTTGAAGCGGGTACTATCGGGTTACTCTGCCCCGGGACCATCTTTTGGCGCTAAACATCCAAACCCGTATTGTTCGTCTTTTGTGTTAGCTCAAAACCGTTTCCTATTATGAGGCATTTTTTACTTCCGCGCGGATCTCAATGC